TACAACAAGGGCCTGTACTTTTACATTTCTATTGTGAAAGCAATGCAGGAGTTACCAGTAATTTACTGTGAATGTACAATGTGTACTGTGAAAGTAATGCAAAAGAGTTACCAGTAATTTACTGTGAATGTACAATGTGTACTGTGAAAGTAATGCGAAATAAGTTACCAGTAATTTACTGTGAATGTACAATGTGTACTTGAAAACACACACACACACACGCACGCACGCACACACACACACACACACACACACACACACACACACACACACACACACACACACACACACACACACACACACACACACAAAGCAGTGAAATAACAAGTGATTTAGAGCCGTTTAGTCACCGGCTGATTTGCTCCTCTGATGTTTCAGAACAATGGCAGTCAGGAAAAAGAGTCAAGGTTGCCATGCCCGCCCCCCCTCCCTATCACCACCAGCAGCAGACGGAATGGATAAGCCTGCTGCTGCTATTGTGGCCCCAAATATGTCTTTCACAATAACAAAGTGACTCATATGTGCGTGGTCAGGCAGAAGGCCTCATGCAGAACTCTGTTGGTTCCAAGAAGAGCTGAAGTCTTTCCCCCTGCAATGTGTTTATGTGGGCTGCCTGTAACCGTCTACAGTCGATATGCATGCATGACCAAGCGTGGTATATATGCAAAACGGTTTCGTTGACTCTGAAACGAGGCTTGCAAGACAGAAACGTTTTAAAGCAAAGGGTGAAACTATTGCCGAAATCAAGTTTGGTTTCTTTACAATATTAAAATAAGAAAAATGCAAGGATGACTTATGAACAGTGAGGATTTGTATGCAGTCTGATAACAGGCGCACTGACTGATGTGTCATTAGGCCAACAGTGGAACTGACGAGCTTTGTCACAACAAAAACATGATCTCTGCGGGTGGTTCTGTAAATGGCATTCCATTTAGAGTTCAAAGGCTTTATGTCATACACCAGACACAGTTATACATAAGTGATACATTATTAACGTATACACATAAGAAATAGTATGAATGCCCAAAATATAATCTATGACTTTTACGCACAACTCACCGAGAGGGTCGTGCCTCAGCAGCGCCTGTGCGTAGTCCCCCATGGAGCGGTGGTGCTGCTGGTGGTGGTGGTGGTGGTGGTGGTGGAACGGGTAGATGGAGCCAGCAAAAGCCCCGGCGGATGCGTAGGTGAACGCAGCGGCGGCGTGGTGAGACAACGCCGGGTGGATCGGGGTGGGTTCATAAATCGGGGTCCTGTAGGGCGATATGAGACTGGTGAAGGAGGAGTTGGGCGACGGGAGGGTCGGTGTAGGCATGATTGGAGTGGAGCAGGAGGATGAGGAGGAAGATGGGGAGGTGGTGGAGGCAGTCCTCCCCAGGATGTCCTCGATGTAGAAGGGTGTCGGGTGGGCCGGCTGGATGGGAGTCGGTGCGTAAAGCGGGACGCTCATGGTGCTGCGCGCTGGAACCGAGTTAAAGGAAAGCTGCGTCCCTCTTTTCTCTCCCTAAAGCCTTCCTCTTTCTCAGAACAACTTCTTTATATCCTACTAAACATCCACTTTGACTCACAGTGTCTTCAGTCCACTGAAACGCGTAACAGAGAGTCTTCCAGGCAGGAGGAGACCGTTAGAGTGTGTTGGTGTCCATCAGGTTGCGGTGGTGTCTCGCTGGTGCTTGGTCCAACTGTTGGGGCTGTTATCTGGCTGCAGGCGGAGAAGGGAGGTGATAAGAGGACGGCCAACTTCCTGCAGGTGGCCAGCGGGCGTTTCTGATTGGCTCACTCGCGCCTCCAATGGAGCCTACAGTGATCAGATGACCCGAGAGAAGAGATAGCTGTACTTCAGGAGAATCAGAATCATGTGTTAACCAGATGTACTGAGTGATATAATGCTATAACGATGACTTGACAAATAGATTTTGTTTTTTTAAAGCCAAAAGTCGTTATTCACTACAACAATAAAGCCTAAATCTCATCACATTACTAGAAAGCGCAATAGCCACAATGGTTCGTGGTTATTGCGACCGATCTGGAAAGCAGAAATCGGGTGTCTTCAATGGAAAACAAGTCCAATATTTAAACATATTTTTCTTTCAATTGACCGGAAATAAAAAAGACAAGTACGAAATTATGTAAAAGCTCGAAAAATAGCAACAACAAAAATGAAATGTCTGCATTTAAAATCTTACCAAAGTAGCACAGAATTAACCCATTATAAGCACCCGAAGTGTCATACTGTCAGATTGTTATATATTTTCTGATTATTAATGAGTTGGTTTTAATTGTTGGATGAGGAGAGATCATTATGAGGTTATTGATGACCTGCTGTTTTGCCCATTTATTGTTAAGTTAAGTTGTTGGTCAAAATCTTCTCCAACTTCTCTGCTAAACCAAATCTGACACTCTTTACAGACATGCTACAGCTAGAAGTTCATTTGGAGGCTCTTTTTAATGTGAGTTTTGGTGATGCCTTCCTACATTCAGTAACATTAAGTAGCCTACAAACACAGGCCATTATATTTCACACTTTGTCCATTTATTTAATGTGACTTCTAAATATCATATTGTTTCAAACTAAACTAAATAACTGTTTTATTACATGTTTATTACATTATGATAGGTGTTCAGTTCATACTTTCTATTTCTGACCAATGATGGTACTTTGAAATGTATGAGTCTTTCATCACCGAACTATGAATGGAGTCAATCAAATTCTGAATAAAGTACTAAATGCTGTATTAATAGATTTTTGGCCTGTAGCTAATCCAATTTATACAGGATTCCAATAATTCCAATAATACATTATCCTGTAAAAATATCCAGAATGAACCCTGCAGTAAACTCCCCAACGACCAAACCCCCCAACTCTCACACAGATCCAACTGGCTCCTGCTGTCAGTGTTATATGGCCCTGGTTAACGTGCGTTACATGGTTCTTTGACTAATCACACAGTTAGAGTGTTATCTCTAACAATGTAGTACAGAATAACTGCAATCCACATCCCTAACGGTGAGCTGTAGGAGAGTGATTAACTCACAATTTGAATGTTTGGAGCTTTCCTGTGAAATCCACCTATCAGGTGATATACTTATGATAATGGCTACAAATGCAAATCGCTTTAATGGCTCACTAGTGCATGTTTACCCCCTCGCACACGTTTCCGCAGGGTGCTAAACAATAGGCCTAACTGATAACTTGTGTGTTCCACAGTTACACCACGGACAAAACACATGTTGCTTTTTTTACGACTTCATACGGTCACATGTCACGCTTCAGTGTTGGGAGGAAGTCCAGAGCTGCTCACTGATAAATCTCAATGGACCTCAATAGTTAGATGATCTGATTCGTCTTTAAAGCGCGCGCCACTAACTGCCAACTTTCTAATGGCTGTAATTTAGATAAAGTGGACGCAGAGAGCAAACAGGGGTATTAGCAGCCTTGAAGACATGAAAGAAGAGAGCAAACGGCTAATATTTGGACTGAGACAATGATTGCAGCGCATTGATCCGGCCGGCGTCAGGCTCCTGTCCGGCAGAGACTGATCACTCCTCAGCCCCTCTGCTGCCGCCAGCTGGCGCCATGTCAGCCTATATGTAACCATCAACAATCCAAATAAGTCTCACAGATAGGACGGAGTTTTCCACAGTCTCCTATATGAAAACACATCAGTATTATTTCTATGAACAAAAAAAAGTGTTAAGGAAATCACTTTCAATCACTTGGTAATGAAAAGTGGTGGGGACTTGGGGGCAGAGGTGGAAGAATTACTAAAATGGCTTTACAAAAGTAGCAATACCAAAGGGTAAAAAATGCTCTATCGCAACTAAAGGTCCTGAATCAAAATTATTATTCAAGTAAAAAATCCCAAAATTAGCCTATTGGCATCAAGTTATACTTAAAGCAGCAAAAGTAAACGTAGGTACTCATTAGGCCTAAAGGCCCAAAATATGATATTGGGTTATGATCAGAGGAGGAGGAAGTACTCAGATATTTTTCTTTTGTAAAAGAAGCAATACATAATATCAAAATTCTCCATTACAAGGAAAGGGTTCTACATTCTGAAGTAGACGTACAGTATTATCAAGAGAAAATTCATTGAAAGTATAAAAAGCATGTGTGATATTTATTATATACATTATTAGATTTTTAAAATTGTTGCATCAAGCAGTGTTTTACTGTTGTACACAACGTTTTGTAATATATTATAAATAAATAGTTTTACTTTGTTGTACTGCTTGATGAATCATTATAAGGTTTATCAGATGTATTAATGCAACATCTTAAAGGTAACAAAGACTGTATAATAAATGGAGTTAAAGTGTTATTACATGGAAAGACTCAACAGTTGCCCCTTGCAATTGTTACATGTTTTAATCTACTTTATTTTATAGATTGTTGAGTTATTGAATGCTTCTTATCTTTTGAAATTAATCTTGACCTTAATTGTCCTTTTCATACCAAGTCAATTTCATTAGTCTAAAAGTAATTGAAAATAATATACCATTTAATTCCACACTGTCCTGTCGAATGTGCAGACAACAAGCCTCCATTTTCTTGGAGATGGTTATTTTGCATATATTCCGCTCGGGAGGATTTTCTGCCTATCCAAGGCTCTCTGTTTTCAGTAAGAAAATATGCAATTTATATCCATCGCTTTTCTTTGTATTTGATTAAAAAAAAAAAACCTGGTTTGCTTACGGTGTTGGTAACATTAGCTATGTTAACTTGCAGTTAGCTTAAAGGTCCCCTATTATACCGTTTTTCATCAATATGTTATAGGTCTCAGATATATACAAAACATGTCTCTGAAGTGTTTGGCTCCAAACACCAAACCGATCATTGCAGCATTACCCATAATCCCCTCTGTTTCAGCCCTGTTTCCAAAGTGCGGATTCTCTGTCTGTTACTTTAGATGAAAATAAGGAGCCCCTCCCCACGCCCCTCTGAGAAAGATTTGGTTAAAAAGAACTCAATGGTGCTCTAGGAGGAGATTCAGGTGACACGGTGTGTGTGTGTGTGTGTGTGTGTGTGTGTGTGTGTGTGTGT